ATTCGTAGAGTGATTTCTCAAGAAAACGATGGCGCATTCACTTTGGTCCTTTAATATGATTTGATTATGACGACCAGGCCGTAGCAGTATTCGAGACTGCGTACGTCTGCCTCGGAGGAAAGTCGAGTAGCAACTGCCTTCTTCTAGTAACAAAAATATACTAATCTCTGCATGATGCATCTTATCACGATATAAAATCAGCCTTCCAACGAAACTCATCACGTAAGCCTCACTTCAAAGATAAATTGTGTTTTGGCCCTATTGCGAATTCTACTCATTGACAATGTCTAGTACACTAAAAGTATGGTAATTTCGCCAGTGAACAGTCGAATGCTGGAAGAGCACATAACTGGTGGCAGAAAATGAATCGCAGGTTCTTCGAAATCTCCACATAATAGAGACAGTTGTAAAAAAGAGGGCAAAATAGCTCTTTGTAGGGAAACGAGACTGCGAGAAAAATAAGGATCACAATTTTGATCTCAAATTATTTATCCCGCTTCCAACTAGTGGTAGGGGGCATTGTGCTTGAGTATCAAAGACGAATTGACTATTAATGTCAAAACCAGCCAATAGAAAATCATGAACACTAAGAATTGGCCCTGCGGATTGCTTGCTTATATTCACGAGAAGGGAGAAACTGTGATGTAAAAAATAAAGTTATATGCATTAAGGCTTATAACTCTGAGGTGAAGGAGGCAGGTTCAACTCAGAGCAACGGCCTATAGAATATTACTACTGGTTGCTACTGGTAGCTTGCATTCCGACCTTAAGACTTGATAACAAGGAAATGTCGGTTGAAATTGAAAAGTCGAGTGAAAATAATATGAGCAAAAAATTAAGAGAGATAAAGCGGAAAAAAGCAAGGACACGCCTCTCTACGATCAGGAGCTACTCTACTTTTTAGACTCTTGGATCGAGTGAGCTTTGATTCGTTTAATGGAGGGTTATCCATCGCATTGAAATGTGATTATGATATTAATAAAATAACCCGATCAACAATTAAATTGTAAAGATGGGTGGTGCAAGACAACGATCCTGCAATCCGAAACGAAAGCTGGGCAATATGTCTGAAGGCAAAAATGTATAGGCTGCATCATATCAAAAGATTGAAGTGAAAATCATATTCACAATGTGTATAACGGCTTGAATTTCCCAGACTTGTGGGACAAGTTTGAAGTCCGCTTCACAAGCGAGATAGCATATACGATAGATTCAATCATAGTCAAGCAATTGGTTTAATGTGTTTAAACTGCACCCAACTAGTAGAGGAGCCAATAAAGCTAGTGGCTAAGCCCCCTTGTTAACATATGTATCTCGAGTGAAAGGTACAGAAATAAGAGCGACGATGAAATTCGATCCCTAAAAATCTTAATAGGGCTATTTAAAAGTAAACCCCAATTAATTTTCATACGGAGTTATAGTCTACAACAAGTTATCATTCAGACATGACGGAACTAAAATGTGGACAACCAAAGCAGAGTACCGATAGGGTGAGAGATGTTTAATTTAATTACGAATTATGATAAAATGATAATTTTACTAGTCAGAAGTTACCATTTCTGAAGCTGCAAAGATTCATCTGCTTTCCTAATTCATTGGCTTAGCCCAGTTACGCAAAGCTAAATATACCCCCCTCTGCGTTATTACTCGAATGTCCTGAGTCTCACCTGATCTCCAGATTTCTATGCATTGAACCAAGACTGAAAATATCGCTTCACGTGGTAGGCCGTTCCACCAGTCATATATTCTTTTACATGCGTCGTTCGTCATCCTCACACCCTCAGTTTTCAAACACATGTCTGCCGATGCGTTATGCACTGCTGACCTGACTCATTCATCTGAACTGCCGACTAATCGCATTTCTTACAGCAGAACCTGAGCCGAGCACAGGATACACCAGACTACCCCCGCATTACACAAAGCAAGATCAAAAGTCCAACACGAATCAGAAGCCGACCGTCGGATTCCGCAGTCATTGGTAAAAAAAATTCTGGCTAAATAAATGTATACGCAGGTCCATCTAACTTTAGTCGACGTCTACCTGTGCGACGCTCATCGTATTCCAGCTTAGTACCACATCTTGCTCCTACGGTAATGACTTGTCCCAACTAACCGCTTGTAAAAGCTCCCGACGCTTGGTTATCTGATAATCGGGAGATCCGCCTCATTACTTTACAAACTTTGTTGAGCCGGATCGCTTGACTAAATGACGGTACCTCTTACATCCGGCTACTCTAGGTCCCCTGGTTTTCATCCTCTTATACTTCCCGTTTCTATATGCACACTATTTAACTTAATACATCTGATATTTGCAGACGCATGAATATGTTATTCTTCTATCGATCCTTATCATTTAGTCTCGACCCCCCTATTTCGTCCAGGAAATAAGGCCAAGACAAAAGCTGAGAATTGATGACCGGGCCCGTGCCGAGGGAAGTATCCACTAAATGGCTGTTCCGGAGGTCTGGTCAATATTGCTAGTCATGAAGGTCGTTAAAGAAGAAAAATCTGATGGGATGAAAACAGAAAAAGTTTAGCATTAAAAGAACTAGTCTCATCATCTATAAATAACTTATTGGTCCCCTTCTGGCCAGGGCCTACGAGCTATCGCTTTGGGTCAACACGGTTCATATATTTGCCGAAGTGATCACAATACTAAAATAAACTCAACATAAAACCTTTTATAGACTACCAATAACAAGAGGACATATTGAGCAGTCAGTCAGGGCAAATTGAGTTTCCAGCTCAAGCAGAACAGGGATGAAACAGAATCTCGATAGAAATTACATAACGAATTGCACATCAAACGCCGAAAAATTAGGTGCAATCCGGATTAGAGGCAAGTAATGGGCTTACGAAATTACAATAGTAAGCAATATTGAATGCAAAATTTTTCTTCCTCAAGTTGCCCCATATGATGCCTCAGACGATAGTTCTTGACGGTTTATATTAGGCCTCACACAGTAGGCAGAGTTACTAGGTCAATAAAGCGATGGAATTAAAGGCTATATCATCTATGCCTTGAGGTACACCTACCAGAACCAGAATTAACAGATTAAAAATGAAGCTAAATGAGGCCCATGAGATCAATGAAAACAACTTAAAGGAGTTGAAACTGAGTGAAAATTTAATAATGATTTTTAAAGATAAAATGGAGAGCAAATATATTTTAAGGGAAAAGTAATTAATTTTCAGCTTAAAAACGTAGAAAAAGGACTAGACAATGGAAGACCAGAGTAGATATGCAAACTGTAATTCTGAGCTGTATAAATTAAGAGAAACAAGTAATTTAACAATAATGAAACCCCCACCACCACAAAGAACTTTGGCCAATACGCACTATTAAGGAAAGTAGCTACTAAAACTCATTGATATATTAATCCATAAAAAATATGGCAAGGATTAGAAGTGACCTAAATGATGTAAAGATGAAAAAGGCATGTCAAATCACCATAAGGGGATATAAAAATATGTTTATATAAGTGTAAAGAAATCTGCAGAGCAGACCAATTGAGTTGTTTAAAAAAAACATGCAATTCGATTTCACAAAGTACTGGGTCAATTTAGCAGAGAGCAACTAAAAGCGCCCAATTGTTGAAGAAAATGAAAATATAATAATAAAAATGCTATGAAATGAGAAAATCACAATGTCGCTCTATTCTTTATCACACCATCTTGCTCTCTGTACACAAAGGATCTACAATTGTCCTCAAAATAAAAAAGGAAAAGAAAAAGAAAAAAAGACAAATGAAAAGAAGAGTGGCGCTGAATAGTGTCAAAAGTAGAGGCGCGTAGTTAAATATCAGATGAAATAAATCAGAAAAATAAAATTATAACAATGCTTGACGAAGATATGAGGCCAGATTATAAAGATACAAGTTGAGATGAGGAGAAAATGGTTTAAAACAAACCCAAATATTGGACAGAAACATTCTTAAAAGTTCAATCGCATAAATCCTCCATTTAACATTAGACATACTAGAGAACCTATGTAGGGACTTATAAGTAAGCGGGTAAGTAGCAAGAAATC